CATATACATATATAGCAGTGTGTGTATATGTATGTATATAGATATACACATACATATGCACACATATATACATATGTGTGAATATATATATATGAGTGTGTGTGCGTGTGTATATACACACGCACTAATATACACATAGTATATAATATAGTATATATATAGATGCATGTACATATATATATGAGTGTATATGTATGTATGTGTGTATATATATAAAAGCTAAAGAAAACTGCAACATATTTACATATACATATGTATATACAAATGTGTGTGTGTATATATACACATACATATATGCATATACATATTTTGTATATTTGTATACATATATTTGTGTACATACTTTGGGGTGTGCTTGTAAAACCTTACTGAGCCATGTCAATAGTTAGGCTGGATTTTCTTTGTCATTGATAGACAACTGCTATGAAAAGAATCAATTTAACCATGGAATTGAAGGGCTCAGGATTTCAAGAGACACACATTAAGGAGAGGACTGGAAAAGCAAGGACCCAGCCGCCCGGCTAGCTCAGTCGGTAGAGCATGAGACTCTTAATCTCAGGGTCGTGGGTTCGAGCCCCACGTTGGGCGCAGAAACTTTTAAGTTTGTTTCCTAAAACAAAATGGAAATAATGGCTAAAGCTGTGGTTACAGCAACCAGTCTTCATTCAGAAACTGTGTCCAAAACACAAGCCAGAAATTATCCAGTTTGGGACTGCTTTAAATACCCTGGCTCAGTGCTAGGGAATCCTGGGAATTGTAGTTTATTGTGGCACCAGAACTCTCTGACAGAGAAGGCTGAAGGTCACACAAAACTGCAGTCCCCAGAATTCCCTAGCATTGAGCCAGGGCAGTTAAAAGTGGTCTCAAACTGGATGATTTCTGCAGTGTGTTTTGGACCTGGATTATGGTCTTTGAGATTTTCATTGGTAATTTACAATGGAAATGAGTTTTTTAATGCTGTGAGCCGCCCTGAGTCCCAGTTTTGGGGAAAGGGTGAGATATAATAATAATAATAAAACAATAACTACAACAAATAAACATTTGAGTTACTTATAACTTTATTTCTCCTCAATCCCTAGTACCTTGCAATGCTCTAATAAGAACTGCACCATGTCTTATATTTGAGGGCACATAATATTTAATAATAATAATAATAATAATAATTATTATTATTATTATTATTATTATTATTATTATTATGATGATGATGATGATGATGATGATGAAACATGCAAGGGTAGCTGTGTTGGCCATTTAGCAAATTCAAACAAGGATGATGGTGATGGTGATGATGATGATGATGATGATGATGACTATTATTATTTATATCCTACTATTTTCCCAGCAGCTCACAACATTAAAAGAACAATACTGTACAATTAAGAACATAGAAAAAAGTGATACATCAAAACAGAATCGAATTGTTACAGTATTAAAATAACCTTTTTAACAATGCCTTTTGCCTGATGAAGAAGCCAGTGGAGCTTCGAAAGTTTGCCATATGTTATAATGGGCATTTGAGTTGGCATCCAATAAAGGTATCAGTGTTTGGTGGATTTTGGGTGATGCAGTCCCTAACTACTGTACTGTGTATCTTTTCCAGGGTGACCAGATGTCAAAGTCGCAAAGGAGGACAAAGCCCTGCAGAATGTTGGACACTGAAGAAAAAGGGAGGACCTTACCAAATAAAAGCTAAAAACAATAATATAAATATAAATTCATTTCAGGTGGCTTACTTACTTCTATGTTGTTGTTGTTGTTATGTGCTTTCAAGTCATTTCCAACTTATGGTGACCCTATTATGGGGTTTTCTTGGCAAGATTTGTTCACAGGAGGTTTTGCCATTGCCTTCCCCTGAGGCTGAGAGAGTGTGACTTCCCCAAGGTCGCCCAATAGGTTTCATGGCTGATTGGGGAGATTCAAACCCTTCTCTCCAGAGTTGTAGTCCAACACTCAACCCACTAGGCCACACTGGTTCTCTGAGGGTTCAAATAAAAACCCACTGGGTGACCTTGGGCAAGTCACACTCTCTCAGCCTCAAAGGATGGCAATGGCATGCCTGCTCTGAAGAAACTTGCTGTGAAAACCCCATGAAACCTGCTAAGAAAAGCCTTAGGATCAGCATAAGCACACAACAGCAACAACCAGCACTTAAAGCGGGGTCAAGCTGCATCATTTCTACAGTGCAGATGCACACTTGTGTCTCCTTCTTCAGATGCATGGAGTGAACTGATGGGATCTGAATTCCTGCAAAGCAGGGAAGGGTTGGACTGGATGGCCTTTGTAGTCTCTTCCAACTCTAGGATTCTGGGCAGTATCTAGTAGTTCCTGCCATTGGCTCCAGTGTGGAGTAGTGGTTTGCATGTTGGACTCTGGAGACCAGGGTTCGAATCCTGGCTCAGTCATGGAAACCCATTGAGCGACTTTGGGCAAGTCACACTCTCTCAGCCTCAGAGGATGGCAATGACAAACCTCCTCTTAACAAATCTTACCACGAAAACCCATGGTGGGTCACCATAAGTCAGAAATGACTTGAAGGCACATGACAACAAGCCAGTGCCAGGGGTCCTCCTTTTCCAGGGCATGTCCTCCATTTCAACCTTATCTCCAGCAGGAATTCCAAAATGCCCTCCATTTGGAGCAAAGCATGAATTTACATGTGTAAGAGTCTTTTTAGCTGTTATTTGGTCGTGTCCTACTTTTTTCTTGAATGTATCAGCCGTCCTCCTTTTCCAGGACACATCCTACATCTCAGCCTTCTCTCCAGGAGGAATGTCAAAATGTCCTCCATTTGGAGCATGGACTAAGAAACATGGATTTACAATTCTAGGAATGTTTTTAGCTGTCATTGAGTCATGCCCTCCATTTTTCTTGAGAATGTCCTAGGCAGGGTGACCAGTCGTCCTCCTTTTCCAGGACATGTCCTCCACTTCAACCTTTACATTTTACATTTCAATTTACATTTCTAGGAATGGTTTTAACCTTTATTGGGTCGTGTCCTACATTTTCAAGAGGGTGGCCAGACGTCCTCTTTTTCCAGGACACGTCCTACATCTCAGCCTTCTCTCCAAGAGAAATTCCCAAATGTCATCCATTTGGAGCATGGACTAAGAAACATGGATTTACAATTCTATGAGTGTTTTTAGCATTGGGTCAGGTCCTCCATTTTGCTTAAGAATGTCCTAGGCCAGGGTAACCAGAAGTCCTCCTTTCCCAGGACATGTCCTCCATTTAAACCTTCTGTCCTGGAGGAATTCCCAAATGTCCTCCATTTGGAGCATGGACTTACAATTCTAGGAGTGTTTTTAGCTGTTCGTTGGACATTTTTTCCTCGAATACAGAGGAAATACATACAGAGGTTGTTTTTTAATTGGCTCCTGTCCTCCATTTTTTTTCCCCTCCTGGGGGGTGTCCTCCATTTGGCTTTGCCTTGCCCTCCTTTGCAGCCCTTGACATCTGCTCACTCTGCAAGAGCTTCCAGGCAAAGAAGAGCCAGAGCAACTACAATTCCCAGAGTGCCTTTCCAGGGAGCCAAGGAGGGAGGGAAACACCACCCACTAAAAGACTACATTTCCCATGGTGCTTAGCGGGGCCAACACAAAAGGCTGGAGGACTCAGGCTGGAGTCTGACCCAGCGATGGGAGGCTGCTGGGGAGACCAGTTTGGACCCTGGGGGCTCTTTGGGGCCAGGAATTAAGGAAAAAGAGGAGCCATGGAGGCTGGTGAGTCAAGGTGGAGATTATGCAGGAAAAGGATTGATTGATTGATTGATTGATTGACTGATTGATTGATTAATTGATGGGAGTGCTTTTGTGTATCTACTGGCTTGGACCACTTGCCAGGCATGGGAAAGTGGAGGACCATCTCCAAAGGGAAACACAAACCCTTCTCTCTTTCCTAAAAAAAAATGTTGTTGTGTGCCTTTTGGAGTCCTTTCCCACTTATGGCAACCCTATGGTCAAAACCTATCATGGGGTTTTTCTTGGCAAGATTTCTTCAGAGGAGGTTTGTCATTGCCATCCTTTGAGGCTGAGAGAGTGTGGCTCACCCAAAGTCAACCCAGTGGGGTTTTATGGTTGAGGAGGGATTCGAACCCTGGTCTCCAGAGTCATTCATAGCTGCTTTGGGTCCCAGTCTTGGGAAGAAAGCGGGATAGAAATAAACATAATAAACATCATAATAATAATAACAACAACAGTAGCAGCAGCAACAGCAACAGTCCATAATCCAATTAACATGCAATTTCTTTTAATATTTTGATAATTTAATTCTATTATTAACATTTATTTATAAAGCGCTGTAAAGTTTGCACAGTGCTTTACGTGATAAGGATCAAGATAAAATAAGATAATATTAAAAACTGCCATACGGCATACAATCTAAAAAGCATCAACATTGCAAAATAAAAACGCATCTCTAAAAATAGTAGAGCAAAAATAAAATGGTTTATTTTATTGTATCACTTTTGTATCACATTTGTGCTGTGGTGTTGTTGTTGTTTTTAATACTGTAAGCAGCTTTGAGTCCTAATTTTGGGGAAAGGGCAGAATACAAATATCATCATCATCATCATCATCATCCTCTTCCTCCATTACTCAAATAATTACACAACACTGGCTCTCAGGATTACCTTAAGGTTGCCATAAGCCAGAAATGACTTGAAGGCACGTTGCAACCATTCTTCTGTTGACATAAATCTATTAGTCTCAGCTTGTTCAAATAAAAAGGTCAAAGTTGTTGTTGTCGTTGTTGTTCCTAATATATCCAAACTAAGACAACAGTCTTCGTTTAATCATCTTGGATTCTAGGGAGAATTCAAGCTTGGTTTGCTCTTGTCGTCGTCGTAGTTGTGTGCCTTCAAGTAATTTCTGGCTTACAAGGACCCTAACGTGACCCTATCATGGGGTTTTCTTGGCAGGTTTCTTCAGAAGAGGTTTGCCATGGCCTTCCCCTGAGGCTGAGAGAGTGTGACTTGTCCAAGGTCACCCAGTGGGTTTCCAAGACCAAGCAGGGATTCGAACCCTGGTCTCCAGCATCTTAGTCCAGCACTCATGCCACTATAATGACATTGGCAGAAGACATATCCAGGGGTAGCCGTGTTGGCCATGTAGTTATGTACAATAACATCCAAAATCCACAAATCAGTGATAATAATAATATAATAATAATAAAATTTATTTATATCCTGTCCTATGGAAATCCAATCAGGACGGCTTACAACCATAAAAACATATACAATACCCATAAAAACATATACAATACAACAGACCCCCTCCCCCCCTTAAAACAGTATTAAATCAATAATAATTTAATTTATTTTAATTTATGCCTTTATTAGGCCAACCCAAACGCACATTATACATGTTGCAAGCTTTTGAAATCCCACTGGACTGAGGCAGCTTGGGATCTCTTTTTACCTTGCTTATGGAACTGGGTGACTTTGGGCAAGTCACACTGTCTCAGCCTCAGAGGAAAGCCATGGCAAACCCCCTCTGAACACATCTTGCCAAGAAAACCCTGTGGTAGGGTCATCTTAGGGTTGCCGCACAGCAACAACAATGGAATGTGAAGTCAAAGGCTTTCATGGCCGGCATCCTTAGTTTTTTGTGGGTTTTTTGG